CTTCAGTTCCCACTCTTGCTGTTCTTAGTGTGTACTTCACATACTTGTATATGATTGCTTGAAAATCACAAGGGTACTGCTTCATCAAATCTGTCTCACTTCTCTTATGAGACCACTCTGTCTCACTTCTCTTATGATACAACTCAGTAAGTTCTGTGTTGTCACCAGCTCTGACAAGAAGAAGCTGTAAAACCTCATCCTGCAACAGTTTTAAAGCTTCCAGCATAATTTTTCTTTTGGAATTCATACTTCATGTGCTGTTTTTCTTAGTCTAGAGAAGAAGTAACTTCGATGGAGGTACTTTAAAAATAAGCTGAAATATTTCGACAGCATGGCTTTGTTTTAAATTGGAGTTGAAATAATTAAAAAGTGCAAGTAAGTTTTTTTTGCCCTGCCTGTCTGAACATGCACACAACGGCTTGTTGCAATGGTAGGAAGCTGGCACAAAGGTTTTTGTAATTGGAATAAATAACTACACCAACAAATTCAAGGTCCAGATGTTCTACAACCCCTGATGTATTACTTTCATGTTTTTATTTATTAAAGAATTTTAAAGAGGTTTAACCAATGACAAGGATATGGTCTTCAGTGCAACAAAGTGCCACTAGGTGGAAGCACCTCAACTACAATCATAAGATAACTTGAAGAGCAACGGTTCAAAACTCATGCTATAGAAGAACTATTGATGTTGGAAGAATTTGGAGGGGAACATTTTATTTTGCCTAAGTTTGGTTATCAGTTAACTAAAAATCCCAGCAATAGCCACTTTTGTTTTTAATCTCATAAAACTTACTGTGTGAAAAGGCTGTGCTGGAGGCTGCGGGTTGATACGTGATGTACACTGCTGGATCTTTGACGTTCTTCCTGAACCCCTGCAGAATGGAGAGCAAAATACATTTTTTCTCTAAATACCATTTATATTTAGTCAGTAGCTGAGGAAAAAAAAAAAAGCTGCTTTCTCAAGTATGTGGACAGGGTTTCTGGTTTCTATTTTGTTTTTCATCTACAACCCAAGCTTTTACGTAGCTCTAAAGTATGTTAGATTTTATGAAGATGGTCATAGATTGACTTTCCTTGACTCTACCTGTTCTGAAACAGAAACTGTATTAACAATACTTACCTAATAAATATGATCAGTGCCTTCTTCATAGTGCTTCCATCTTACAAAATTAATGTAACATCCTGCAGGATTATTAGTTGCAAATAATTTTAATCTCTGACATATTAAATTCATGGGTTCATCCTTGCTCCAGATGGCATCCTCCTATAGGTGAGCAACCTGGTCTAGTGGATGGTGTCCCTGCCCATGGCAGAGGAGTTGGAACTAGATGATCTTTAAGGTCCGTTCCAACCCAAACCATTCTGTGATTCTATGATTCTGTGATTCCTCAGTGCTTGACAGACAAAATGCACAGTAGCATAAAGGAAAATGAAATCTGAAAGTCATCCTTCAGAACAAGTTTCAGTTTGGGAGGTGAAGTTTTAGATATCAGAGAATTTTCACATAAATATATTCTGAAGAGTGCATTGTTGATGAGGTGGTGCTTAAAAAGGGATTTTTTCATTTGAAAGGATTTTCTTGAGGAAAATCTGTTCCCTTAGGGTTTTGATTTTTGTAGTTGTGTTCTGGGAATACCTCATTTTAAGATTATAAATGGTGAATTTATTAACTAGATTAGGAAAAGCAAGAGGAGTGTGATAAAAATAAATCTGTCAGATGAAGAAAAGGGATTGAGGGCAGCCGTCAGAGGCTGTTGGAGTGGAATGAAATCACTGTTTGCACCAGTGTCCTGTGCTACTACACCTACATCCTTTAACTGGGAATGAAATGACAAGAGGAGTTGATGCAGTGGCCAGGCAGCTGTGCAACTACCTTCTTCTTTACATGCCTTTAAATGCCTTTGCAATGTTGGCTGTTTCATTGTGAGATTGGTCATGCTAATAAATTCAGTGGTGCATAGAGCAAACTAAGAGATGAGAAACTTTTCTTAACTTGAAAACTTACTGAAAGCTATTTTGATTAATGATATGAAGGAGCTTTCTTAAAGGTATGTTCCTTGTCCAGCCGTCCTAGCATCTTAATCTCCTCTATTGTGAAAGCTGCTTTAGAATTTCAAGGAGTAATTACATCTAATACAGCGTTAGCTCCGCTCAATGATAGAAGAGTTCGGAAATAAGCTGTTCCAGGCTTCCAGATGTTTTCCTCTCCATAGCCATGTAGGTTCCAATCAGGCTTTTTTTTTTAAAACAAGATTTTGAAACGGTGTTTACATGGTTTAGCTGGAAAGGCTTCCAGAAGGTAGGCAGTAGTTCTGAATGTTGTCATTTCAGAGCAGGTTTGTATTTGCCTTTAGTACTGTACTGTATTCATGACAGAAGTTTTTGCATTTCCACTTGAAAGAACAGTCTGTTCCTGTCATGTTGTGCTCCACTAAAGCATGTTGTGAAACCCTGACAGCCCCCATTCCACTGTGTGTTTGTCAGATGTTGTCATCAGCCATGCCTTCCTTTAGGGACAGGAGGTTCTCTGGGACTGGGACTCATACCGGCTTTACATGCTTAAGTGCTTCAGACATCACGATTCTGGGTACATTGTGGGGTTTTTAATATATGGTAGTGTACTGCACAGAAAAATAAATCGCAGTCCTCATTGTTGGGTGACACTCGAGTTGAAGAAGGGAGCAGCTGCAGTCGGGTTACATCAGCCCTCTCCTGCTGTAGAGCTGTTCTTTCAGGCAGCATCTCATACAGAAGAGCTACCTATGTCAAACTATACACAAACTATACACATTCTCTTGAAGAGAGCTTTTGGTTTTGTGCATAGTTTTGGAGCGGGTTGATTTCTACATGGACCCAGTGTTGCAGAGTTTTTCTGTTGTGTGCCCGATACAGCATTTAATTATACTTTGATCGGTAGCCTTTGGAAATTTCATGTCATTTCTTTAAAGAGAAGCTGCAGGGGATGCCAAGTTGTGCCAGTGAAGCTCTGAACAGACTTTAAAAGTCATAATTTCTGTGAAGCAGTCACTAGACCAATGACGTTCACTTATTTATAATTATCACTGTGGTACCACTGGCACTGGGTCACAGGAATTCTCAGCCTTCTTTTGGAACGAGCCGTTTCCACCCCATATTAGGTAAGGAGAAAGTAAAACAGCTTTATTCCATAATATGCAATAGGAAAAGGGCTGGTAGATCCGTTACACAGTGGTTCTCAGGTTATGAACCTCTTCCCTTGCATAGTGGTAGGCTGCACTGAGGCACCAGCAAAGTGGAGGACTTGAGTGTTTTGGATACAATCCTTTAGTGCAGAAGTGGGCACAGAAATTCTGAAACATTTCTGAGGCATGGTCAATAGCACTGCCATCTTTCATAACTGATCTTGTTGCATATTCCCAGCTGTAGGAATTTGTGATGTAAAGAGGCAGGTATGTACGCTTACATGCATGTTATAATGGCATTGGACCACAGCAGGTTAAGAAGAAGCACAGAATTTCATTGTATTTGCAGAAATGTGTAAAGTAATGATTTTGGCTGCTGATGGTTTTACTGTGACAGCCTTCGAATACACTCTTAATGCCTTTGAGGGTGAAAGACCAATGACCTTCCTCGAAAGCAAAAGCCTCCCTGAAGATAAACCCAAAAAGCAAGTATGCAGTGTAGAAGTTCTCTCAAAAATAGCCTGCATTTCAAAATATGGCCTGATCCATTTTCCTTGGTGATCTAAGAGGTGATTTGAATGTACATGTTGACAAATCTAAGCTTTAATTGTGTAAGACAAGGTAGGTGTAATAATCTTCATCCTTGGAGAACTCAGTTTTGGGCAACCTGTCTTGAGTCAGGCACAACAGATACCTAGAACAGGGTCCAGAAATCCAGCCCACTGAGTGTGGAGTTGCAAGGACTGAGTTCTGAAAGAAGTTTGCCCTTAGGAGCAGACTGTGCTAACAGCTCATCTTCCACCAAAGAATCTCAAGGCTTTTTACAAATTTTAATGCTCTGGTCTCTTTACTTTTGGTCTTATACTTCAGTATCTGATGAGACATTATAACTGGTGTATCATAAGAACATGTATGGAAGAAATAATTGGAAAGCTAAGTAAGTTCCTTCATAAACTTCTGTCAGAGGAAACGGAGCTCTTCTACACGTGCGTCTGGTTCCTTAGAACAGGAAATAACTGGCCAGAAACAAGAGAAAAGAAGTCTTCAGCCACTGGCACAGCTGGGCTGCTGCTGTCTGGAATATGAGGGATGTGAACCCTGGTGCTGGTGCCAGCCTCTGTAAGGGATGTTGCCAAGCACAAATAAAAGGGCACTGAAAACCTCCCTGGCAATCAAATTAGAGGAGAGTTTAAAAAATAATGTGAAATTGATCTCAAGTCAGGAGGTTTCTACGAAAAGGGATCTGGAATAGTGGGTGCACACTGTGCCTATGGATTCTGAGATGTACGTTCATTTTCCAGTATTTTGAAACGTTGTCTTTGATGGGTACCCGTTCTGGTGCGCAGACAGGATTGTGGATGGAAACCCGGGTTTATAAAATGGGGAGAGCATTCATGTCATTGACCTGGAGAAAGATTTGCTCTCCCCTGTATTTTCCTCCCTCTGACAGCTCTCTGCCTCTCCCCTTACCACGGACACCCTCCCACCCAGCCAGAGGCAGTCTCTCGGGTGAGGCCCCAGCCCAGGCTCGCTGACACTCGGTGCCTGCTGCAGAAAGAGGTGGGGCTGCCACAGCCACAGCTCCCTCCTGCCTTTCCCACTGACCTGAGTTCAAGCTGCTGCTGCTGCTGCTCTGCCAGCGGCTGAGGCTTCCCTGTGCAGTGTAATCCCTGCACCCGCGGAGCATCCAGCAGCTGCCGGGCACTTGCAGCCCTCTCATGAATTTCTCTCTTTTTCTCCAAGGCGCTGACTGTTGTGGTTTCAAGGCTACTGTTTTCCGTCCCACCACAGGAGCACTGTAAGTATAACTTCTACTGTGGCTCTTTAGTTACTGCCTTTGTCAAACTGATCTGTCTTGTACTGCATAGTAGGAGTTACTAGTTCAAAGTCTCCGTGAGGCTTGTTGTGCTCTCTGCTCCTGATTGATGTATTCAAATGGACCTTTGGCATTTTAGTTTTTAACTGGATTAAAACATCAAAGCATGAAACATGAAATCAGACCAGCTCAATATATTGGCAGCTTCTTGGCTGCTGTTTTCCTACTTTGTAGGTAAATTGCTAGAGCGTCCTTCCTCTGCCTAGTGAAGTGGAAATGAGAAGAGAAACATTTCTGTCCCTGCTTGGTTGCTGGAGCAAGTTTTCTAACAGCCCAGGGAATAGAAACTTTTCATAAGCCCCATGCATTTCATAAGGTCTGGGGATGCTGAGGCAGGTAATCCTGCTGAAGTGTAGCTAGCAAGTGAAGTTTTGGAAAGGAGTTAGATTGGGGGGTATCTGTCTGTCTCATTTCCTAAAGTCCTGAAGGTGAGATAGAAGTAAATAAGTTTAGGGACCTCAGATGGCTGCAGCAGTGTACTGGCACATTCAAACTGATGATCTGAGCTTAGGATTTTAAGGGAAGGAGTCTTGAGCTCCGGGAGCAGTTCTGATATAGGTTACAATCACTTCAAACTTTCAGCTTCAGATTTTCATGTTCTAAACAGCATTCACAATTTCTAGGTGTTAATCTAGCACCAGCATTAGGGTTCCTTGACTGTATTTAATCTGTGGTTTGAAAAGATTTTTTTTCTTGTATAAATGCATAAATCATCTCTTGGGGTATCCTTGAAAGTTGTATGAAAATGAACTACATATGAGCAGAATCACTGTGATTTTATACTTTCTTTCAGGTATCCTATTGGACAATGGAATTTGTATGGAAAAAAAGGTGGTATCTTCAGCTGGGCTGTATATTGATGCTGAATTTGGTTTATGCCAATCTAGACTATCAAAAAGAAACTCCTCCAAGCCTGGGTCAGATTGACCATGAGTGCTGGGAGGTCTCATCCCATGGGCTGGTGGAAATGAAGAAACTCAAGGTAGCAGATACAGTCATTGGTCTCTGGGACTTCATGATGTTCCTAAAGGAATCCCCTAAGCCCAAGCACAATGAACTCTTCAATGAGTTAGCCCAGAATTTCTGGGATATGTATGTAGACTGTGTGCTCTCAAGATCCCATGGAATGGGCAGAAGACAATTAGCGTCTCCCAAATACTCTTCCACATACTCACATAGAACTTTAGAAGGTAACTATAGGATATAGTGTTAGTCTGTTACATGCTAACATTAACCTGAAACACTTCCATCTTTGTCCTTGAATGTTTAGATAACTGAGTATAGTCATTTCCAGTTTTCTGTCTCTACTTCTGTCAAAAGTATTTGCATCTTTCAATGGTAGTTACTTTCACAATACAGGAGCCAAAATTAGTTAGGGTACTAAATTTAACAAAATGTAAAAAATGGTGGGTGTGCATGTGGTAGTGTGTGGAAATGGATGCTGAATGTCGTCACTGTGTGCATATAAATGGCATTACAGTACTAAAAGTTTCCTGGTGTTTGGACTTAAGTCTCAACTATGGGGAATCATCCTTCTGTAAGAAGGGAAGCTCAAATACCTGACTGCTTGAACCCTGTTCTTTCCATTGAAACTGTTGATACATAGTATGATCTCATGGTCATTGTGAATCATCAGTGACAAATTTTGGTCATCATGGTCTGAGATGAGTCTGAACTGAAATCACGTAGGGTTAGGGTCTTACTAACCAATCCTACATCTGTTGGATCCCTTCATCCTTAGCAGTGGACTTTCTTCAGATGTTTTAGGTTTCCAGACTGAACATAGAATCATAGAATGGTTTGGGTTGGAAAGGACCTTCAGATCATCTAGTTCCAACCCCCCTGCCATGGGCAGGGACTCCTCACACTAGACCACGTCACCTGATGCTCTGTTCAACCTGGCATTGAATACTGCCAGGGATGGAGCATTTACCTCTTCTTTGGGTAACCAAAGTGCCTCACCACCCTCATAGTAAAGAACTTCTTTCTTATATCTAACTTGAACTTTGCCTGTCTTTGAACCCATTTCCCCTTGTCCTGTCACTACTGTCTCTGGTGTGAAGAGTCCCCCTCTGGCATCCTTGTAGGCCCCCTTCAGATACCACACTGCCTTCTCTTCTGCAGACAGAATAGCCCCAATTTTCTTAGCCGGTCTTGATACATGGAGAGAATTTAATTCTAGCATTCCTAGAAATTTGCATAGAAAATAATGACTTTTCTTTCATAATCTTGCAGGGTCTGCTTTCACCAACCCATTTTAGTCAAAATAAAGATACCTCAGGAAGGCACATCAAAATGAAGGAGCACAAAAGCACGGCATGTACTCGAGATGCTTAGACAAGTCCACTGGCATGGTTCAACCTTCTTTTTTTTTCCTTTTCTTTGTGTAAAGCATTTAATCACTGCTAAATTGATAAGTATGTAAACTGCCACACTGTCACTTTTGCTTTCCTGTCTTGCAGTCTGTCAAGGTTGCTTTTATCCCACTGCATGTCTGAATGCTTTTGTGTTTTGAGTTAAGACTTTTGTTGTCTCAGGTAAGCTTGTAAGTCTGAACCAGTGTCGTATGTTTGAAGAGGCTCATCTTTTCCAGTAATTCTCTTTTTTTAAAGTTATTTTGGATAGAAGCCCAATATATTTTTATACTTTAAGCAATGGAGAAAATGTCAACAAGCATTTTATACAGTGTCTTGCACATAAAATTAACTTCAAGAATTGCAAAAAAGTGTGACATCAAGCTAAAGGGAAGGATTATGCTTATTGTAATGTCCTGTGCAGTCTTAACTTTGTAATTTATCACTGCTTAATCTAGGCTGTGGATTAATTAAAGTATTTTTTTATGCAGCAAGGTCTGAATAGCAGTAATTTTCTTGTCTAATAACATGTTATTTGTAAAGCCATTGCTACATTACATTAAGAACAATATTTTACACAAGACTGCTCTTTATGTACACATTTATACAGGTAAAAAAAGGTGATACAGTCCATCCCTGTCACAGCAGGCAACATCACAGTTAAGAAGAGACCCATGCATTCAGTGGTTTCAAAGAGTGAGAGATTAGCTTGACCGTGTCTCCCTTTATAAGAAAGAGTCCAGCATAGGTAAAATAATTCAGGGAGATTAACCATGGAGTTAATCCATTTGTCCTGAGCACAGAAAGCCTGAGAACAAATGGGAACACTCAGAGATGCAGACTGTTCTCTGCTTTACTCCTTGGGCAATGCAGCTTGTTCAGTCCCTGTTGTGTTCTAGCCTTTTATGAGATCCCAACTGGGTTTAATTATTGTAGAAAACAGTACTTACACAGTAACAACATATTAACCTTCATAAGTAACAAGAAATCCATCCCAGGTATGCCTAGCTCATATATAGCTTGTAAAATATCCAACAAATCTCACAGATTTTGTAAACACTCATTAGGTAAACACAATATCAAACTGCATCTTGTAAATTAGATCTCCTACAGTATTCCAGAGAGGACACGAAAATAGTGAGAAATTTCTCTCACCCATGAATATCACTGTAAGTTCCTGATACAAAAAGTATTTTAAATACACCTTTTCTCTTGAGCAAATAGAAGGAGTAATGATACACACAAACCCAGCAGTTTCAGGAATTGATAGATTGTGATGAGCAACTATTTGAGAGCCATTGTCTAATCTGTTCCAATAACACCCTCTTTATGAAGCTGTGTACTGTGTTGCATTTCCATCAAATAATGTGTTTTAGCTGTCATAAACCAGATAAATAAATTCCCCTTCTTCACACCTACAGATAATTTTATTCATCACCAACAGAAGTGTAGAACTATAGTAACGTTTTAAAGGTAATGTTTCCTATATTAGTGATCTTTTAGTTGAGTGCCAGTTTTAAAACTGTTTAATGCAGCTTTAAAAGCTCCATCCTTCCTCAGATTGTAAGTCTTTGTTCTAATTAGTTTTCTTTAGGATACAGAGGTGTTTAGCATCTACCATGGTTGGCTCCAGAATGCTTGAACAATCTCTTGCTACGGGCGCCCTGCAGTGTCTGCCAAAGGGGCAGGTGACTGAACGACAGGAACACAGCACCGTAAGCAGCAGCAGCACAACAAATTCCAGGTGGACTCACCTCTTTTGATTATGACAGAGCCATGCTGCCAGCTGGCTGCTCCTAGGGTGTCTACGGGAGGGATTAACAGTGAATGGGGTGAGCTCCTCCTCCACTAGTACTCTGCACTCCCTCTCTTTCCACCCCTGCGCAGAAACAGCAAGCCCATTTTTTTTGGGTTCCTCTGCTGACAGCCAGACCACAGTTCATGGCTGGCTGGCAAAACCAGATGCTGTATATGCTGCTGGGAAGGCTTGTGTTAATATTAATTTATCAAGTGTGAATGTAAGCATTTTGTGAAATTCTGTCCCCTTCTTTCTCTAGTCCTTGATAGAGTTAACAAGAGCATTTGCTGGTACTTGTTTGCACTGTACTGTAGCAGAAGCACAATACAGTTGGAGGAGGGAGGAGTGCTGTGGGGCACACTTTGTGCCTGATTTGAAGTTTTAACATAAGCATAAAAATAAACTGATTTCCAGTTAAAAGATCTTTTATATCTATACCTTGGCTATACAGTATTGCTGTAGCTTTTGTATAGAAATTGGTAGCATTTACGTGAGTCCTGTGTGGTTTTTTGGAAGAAATGGGCCTTTGCTTTGCTGCCAGTAGTAATGAGTCACCCGCACATCCACATATGTGCAAGGGTGTAAAAAAACCTCTAAATATCACAGTCTTTGTTCTTCTAGGCAAATATGTATTGCTCAGTTTTAATTGTGAAAAGACAATGGAGTGCACTTTTGTGGCCCCAATGTGTAGATATATTTTGCCATTCTCTAAAACAGTAATATAGCAGCACAGCTGCTGAAGAGCTGTTGGAGAAAAATAAACTGAGCAAGACTACTTGACACAGAGGACTTTAGTTAGATAACCTCTGTATACCTTAGTTTACCTTTCTTTCAGGCAGGCCAGAAATACACATTCAGAGTTATTTAATAAAACATACTTTAACATTATGCAGATAATTTGGGGTGGAAAAAAGTCATCATGAAAACAGATTATACTTAGAAATTATCAGTTAGCAAAGGGCCAGCATAAAAATTAAATGAAAACAGCTTAAGTTAATGTGATTTCTCTAGCTTTAAGTACTAGGTGACTGTCTTACTCTACAATGTAATGTTTAACAGACCTGCCCATAAGAAAATGCTTCTGATCTTTGCAAACTGCACCTGTGGAGTAGATACCATTTCATATGGCTGGTTTGGTTTATTTCATTATTTTATTCAAGTTCTTCTTTCTATAGAATTTAAGTAGACAATTTTGAAACAAAAATCACTGCCTTTATGTTTAATGCCGGTACTGGTATGTCTTGTTACATGGACAAACAGATTTTCAAGAAACCCTTCATACACACACCCACCCCATGGCTCTTTCAGGAAGTGAGAAAGGGAGTTGGGTACTAAGTTCTATCCATTTAGCTCAAATTTGTTTCCATTTTTCAATCTGGCATTTAACAAAGTGAAAGTTTATACTTTCATGAAACATTGCTTACAGGCAAAAATGACAGACTATGTGCCAGAGCTTGTATGTCATGGAACCCCTTGCAATGTCGCATAATTTTGTGCCATATCACTGGCTAGCAATTGGTTTTAAAATGAGGTAATAGCCTCAGGGAATCTTGCTCTATTGTAATATAGCAATTTTTGGCTTTGCCCAAGCTAGGAAAAGAGACAATAGCTTAGAAACTGAGTCATGTACAAAAAGGTCTGCTCACAAGTTTGTGTTGGTATTCTAGAAGTGGAAGACAAAGAGTTCCTGGTGGAGACAATAGGGGCAATAACCCAACAAGTAATTAGAATAGTAAGATCAGTTCAAGAGCCGTGAGAAATCCCTGAGGAGCAGGACACTTCAGCATGTCTTCAACAGGCTTGGAGAAACTTGGCACAAACAAGCTTTTTAGGGAGTCTTTAGATGACAACTGAGAGAACAGAAGTCCTCATGCTAAAGACAGCAGTTCAAGAAACAAAATGGACTGGGACAAAACCCACATGGGTATGGGATCCAGGAAAATGAGGAACTGAATGTGTTTATGTGAAAGGTCATCGCCCTGCTCAACGGAAGAGATACTTAAACTGCAATGTGTGGAATGAGTCAACAAGAGATGGAAAACAAAGTAGTGGACCTACTGATAGTGGATCACGGTAACCTGACACTAACACACAAAATTTTTAGACTCAGCCTACCTTTGTACCATACCGTGCAGGGTACTTTATTAATAAATCATCCCCATGTTTATATTAGTTAAGGCAAAATACCATTTTGCTCTCAAGATGCTCTGTGCAATTCACCAAAGCATTACAAACAGACATTACCTTGTATCTAAAATACACATACAGTTAACTATAATAAAAGCACTGTTCAGAACACTATCTATTCCACAGGTACCATATCTTTCTAGACCAAGTCCAGTGTTTTAATGCTTTTGATCTTTCTTTAAGGCTTCTTCAGAAAGAGGCAGCTTTCTAAGAGCAAGTTCTGTAACATTCAGTGGCCTTCCAGTTAATTGAGGAGGTGTACTTTTGACAGTTACTAAGTGACCAGATCCAATCTGAAAAACAAAATACATTACATGACAGTCATGTTAGTATTTAAAATGAGAGTTAAATCATGAACTGTCTTTCAAAAACATTATTCATCTGGTAGAGATGCATGCTGAGGTTTCTGAGGCCTATTCAAGCTATCCTTTATGTGAAATTAACAAATTGTTCCCATCAGTACAAAGGAAAGGACAGAGTGGTTTTTCACCAGGTACCTTTATGTACTCTGCTTTTCTGCCTTCACGTCTGATCTTATGAAAAGGAACAGCAAATCAAGCCTTTATTACAATAGAAGTTTGTTGTGCAATGTTGTTTGGATTTGTATATCATATGAGCCAGTTTTTGTCCTCAGCATTTCATTATACATTAATACTTCAACAACAAAAAAAAAGGAACAAACCCTATTTCTCTCAGAATGCAATTCCTCCAGGAAAACTTGAAGACTGAAAGGGACATACTACTCTCTATATTGGATAAGTATATTCAGTATAAGGAATACATATTTTTATATATATGTGTGTATATATATATATATATATATATAAATCCCAGTGACACCTCTATCTTCTAAGCATGACCTACTAAAACAAACAATGCAACTCTTCAAATGCTTGTGGCTCACATGTTTAATTACTTGACTTTGACTGGTCTGCAACAAACATCTTGGCCTAATTTCTCTCTCCCTATGAAGGGTGTTTAGCAGAGAGGAGGGAAGAAGATTGTTCCAAGAAAAAAATTGCCAGCCATATCTGTTATTTGTATTTCTTCTAAGCTATGTACCCAAGCAGTTTTATTTGATGTTCTTGATGTACTCCATTTCTTAACACACTTATTCTGCAAAATGGACTAACCTTTCCTTCTTTTTGTCTACAGTTGTTGAGATATTGTTTATAAAACCATAAAATACTTTCTTCTTAAAACCTCTTCCACCAAAAAAATGAATAGTCTTGGCTTGAGATCCAAGTCTTTAAAATAGAGTATAACAACATATTTCTGTCTATTAACCATTTCCATAATGCTCATATCAAAATTTTTCAGAGACTTTCTGCAAAATATTGCTGATTAACTGTCTCACTGACACAGGCATGTAACTATATCATTTTTTGAGCCCACTTCATCTTGCATTTACTTAAGTTTAGGGCAAAGATGATTTGATAAAAATCCTAGTCCAGCACTTTGAGACCATCCCCTGGCTTCCTATTAAGCACCTCCTTTCTTCATCA